GATTGTTCTAACTGATTTCCGAAATGGCGGCCCAAGGCGGCCCAAGGCGGCGAGGCACCATTGCCTTCTTTCTTTAACGAGCTCTAGCTCGGCAATCAGCCAGAAAACTGAGCGCTCTTCACATCAATGTTCGTGTCGTCAACTAACGATCCTCAGAGGTCTCTTAGTGTCGCTCGTTCACGGCTCAGCGCGCTGCGCAAAAGTCTCATGGAGCGCTAGACCCGTCTGGATCGTTGTACATCTGCCTGCGATGTTGCTGGTGGCATTTGATACAGTGTGCCAGGCGTCGGGCCCGGGGCAGCAGTGTCGCTTCTTTCGACGAAGACCCCCCAGACGTCTCGAGTAGACGTCATAAAGTCGCGCGAAAGAATAGTTCAAGCGGTCTTACGGTTGGTCTTATCTAGATATGTTTCGTGTCAGCGACGCTTCGAGGCTTTTCTCGGCAATACTCCCCATGCCCTTAGACTCACCCCGAGGATTCTGTGTTATCAGTATTGTCAGAAACCTTTCAGCATCGGTAACTAAAGTCTATCCTGCTTCCGGGCAGAGGTAGAAGGACATGGTGAAGAAGTCGTCCGTAGCATAGACGGTAACATCGACAATCGTCCGTAGATACTTAGATGTATTTCATCTTCCAAGTGGGGAAAGACGGAGGACGATAGGGAGAGGCGACAATGAGACGCGTCGAAGGAGGGCGCCAGTGAAAGGTTTAAATCCTTATCAACGATATCAGCAGGTATTATTTGGAAGTTCGCCGCGTAACAACCCCTCGAGGAGCAGTAGTCTTGCGGCCATACTCGTTGCGCAGAAGTACATGATGAAACTTCTCAGCAAGGAGCTTGCGGGATCTATTCCGGAAGCGGTGCTTGATTACGCCTGCGTCAAAGGTCAGCTATCGTGTTCTCAATCACGAGAGAGAGCGAAGTCCTACCACGAATGGTATCCGTCACAGTAGATTTCTCGACCCGCCCGAAACTTCGTGTTCCAATGGCGATTGGCATCGTTCTCGAAGTCGTGGACGTGCTGGATGGCCGATAGAGGGTTCCGAGTTCCTGGCGAGACGAGAAGAGCGTGAAGGCTTGGTTATCTAACGCCTCAAGACGGCCATAGGGTTCATGACTAGTTTTGGCCTTGGTCAGTCTACCGTTTCACTGTTTGCCAACAGAGAGAGTGCCCACAAGCTTGCAACAATCGTACTGGTGTCGATCTCAAGCAGAATCAATTCGTGCTCCAACTTTTCGTGGGTCTGAAGAGGGGCGAGTCCGCACACACCGCTTTCCATGGCGGTGCGGTACTCCTGCCGTCTGTCTTCTTACGTCGCTGTGAGCTTGGGCGCGATCTTCTTGGCCGCCCGCGCCTGGGCCTCCACTGCCTCGGACATGCCCATCGGGCTCTCAAAGGGCACGCCGAGCTGCGCCATGGTCGTCTTCGTGGCTCTGAAAGGCTGCAACGTACTCGTCGCTGTAAATGATCTCCAGGACGCCGGGTTCAAGGGCTTCCGCGGTCTCGTACCCAAAGGCAGCATCCCATATGGCGCTGAGGTAGCCTCTCAGGTCCTGGATTCCACTGACCGTTGTTTACTTGTATCCGTCGTGGTTTGCGAAAGGCAGACTTGCGTTTCCGAGTTGTAAGTCGCTCGCGAATTGTTCTGCAAGGCAAGTGATACTTCACTGCTGAGAGAACTGGTGGTGAATTGTTCGCGAAGGAACACCGAACACGCGGGTGATAAGGACGACGGAGTGTTGAGAGGGGAATCGGGATGGAGAAAACCGCGTTGAACCGGTCAGACGAGACGCGATGAGGAAGGTGAGGAGCCTTGGAGGTAGGACCCACTTGGGGTGAGGTCGCCTTCCTGGCGCCCAATCAGGTCTCTCTTCAATTCCACGTCAGGCAACCCTCTCGCGCCCCCATCCCACCCCCTGCTCTCCTACTCGCGAACAGGGCCCAGGGCATGAAGGGCCGGTCCTTGAGCTACGAAGTAGTTTCGTTTTAGCTGAGCAGTTCGAGAGACGAGATCAGTTGCTTCAAAGGAGTATCATCTCCACGGGAGTGTCTGGCTTCTTGCACGAATGCCACGAATGCCAAGCGGGCCTTGTTGGCCTCTCCGCTCCGTCCACACTTGAACCCAGACCCAACAGACAATGCTTATCAGCTATACGCAGCATATCCTATTCGGCATGTATTCGCCGCCGCTTATCTCTTTCTCCTCGTCAGAACCACCAAGCTCTAGCTGGGAGGCCTGCATCATATCGATGTCAGATTCATCCGGGTTGGAACGATCCAACTCACAGGCCTCCCACGATGGCGCGATGAGATTTCGAGGCCAGTGCTCTCCCATTACCTCTGAGAGTGTCAGTCTCTTTATAATCGCCTTTCTCTTGTTACAAGTAGGTACCCTCATAAGGGGGCCAACGCTCTCAGGGAGCGTGCGAGCGCATGGATGCAAGCCTTTAGGCAAATCAATAACTTGTGACGACAGGCTCACGAAGTATGGCTAACGCGCAATAGGTGCTAACCTGGATCAATTGACATGCAATAGGTGCTAACCTGGATCAATTGACATTGAGTTGCAGAAGGGAAAAGTCGGAAGTGGGGGCGCGGGCGCGCGAGGGCTCTATGGGCGCGCCCAGCGCGCAGGCACGGCGCCAGCGCCGTGACAAACTTCATACTCCAACGCCAGCCTCAGGTATAGCGAGAGCGAGATGTCTGCTAGCTCGCGGAAGAGGCCACCATCAATTTTGACAAGTCCTTCAGGAGGTGTAGGGGACTTACCCACGGTCCCTATAGATATTGTTACTATATTTCTTTATAATAGGAGGAAAGAAGATACTCATTTGATGTGATAAGACCACATAACATGACTCCTGCGACCCCAAACATTTGGTAGAGTGCAATAGGGTTGCATGGCGGCCGTTGTTTCCTTCTCGCAACCGCGCTTATTGCAATTAACGGAAGCTCTGCTATTCCGCATCGCGGGCCCGGCTTTCTAATATTTTGTTGGTCAGAATTGCTGTTCTATCTCTTGTATTTTCGAGAAATGTTGAGAGAGTAAAGAAGCATCGAGTAGGGTGGAGTAGACGCTCTGATTGAGGCCTTAGATGTCAACGCGTTGAGCGCTGGGCTCATAACCTATGGAGGCGCGTACAACTTGGCGACTCTGTTGGTTTGTGGACAGAAAATAGAGGTTGTAAAGGCCTAGAGGCTGAGTCGGGGATCTAGTACCGACTTGTTTGGCTATACTTCGCCGCGATGGAGGGAGCAGACGGCGGTGCTGGGAGAACCAGCCACGAAGTGAAGTAAGGTACGCTTTGAACAGTCAGACAACGTATTTTGTTTGACGATGAGACACAAGACGTAGTAATAAATGGTTCCCGCTTTCGGTGTTGCTCAGCCACATAGATTCTGAACCCCAGTGCTCTCCGGCACGGACTCATTTACCATGGCGAAAATAGAAAACCAAATGAAGTGTGAATTCAAGAGGTTGAAATGTGTTGTGCACTAGCGTCAACTTCCTGCTTTCCTGGGAACTTGCTTCTTTCCTCTGATGGCTAAGGAGGCAGTTGACATGCCAATCCAGGTCAGCAAGTTCAGAGCCACCCCCGGCGACTGCGCTACCGCCCTCGTCAGAGTAGATAATGTTGTCACCCCCGCCATCCGCAGGTTTGAGCCATTGGGCAGGCTTGAGATTTTCGTCAACTATAACCGTCAGCTATCGACGAAGAATCCGCATCGAGACGTAGAGGCAATGATGTCAATTACCCCATGCCACCCAACGTGTGGGCCTGATTTTCACGTACTCGTACACATTGGGAAATCGTGTACCACCGACCCTGAAAGCTCTCGAACTTCTCATGGCGTCCGGACGTCTTGCCTGTCCAGGGGCGGCTCGTTAGGAATCCTCTCTGTGCTTCCTTTGCAAAGCCCTTGAAACTGACGTCAGCATATTCTTACAGCTGAAAGATGTGAGACCAAATACAATCAGACAAGTTCGCTGCTTGACTTCCAAGCTTCTTCCTCAAATAAGTTGAGAATAAAAGCAGAACCCCGTCAAAATCACGGCTTCGTGTATGCCCAACCGATGCTTATGGGGTATTGAGGGCTTGAAACACAAAACCAGAATGGCCGGTACCTGGAGGTGATGAGCATAATACGGACCCTGCACCTGCTGTCTAGAGATACAGCACCCAAATGAGCAAAGCGCTACGCTTTGAATCTCTCGCAAATCTCCGCGGACTGCCATCAGATATGAGCAATTGAGTTGATGATGTTCGCAAACAATTGGCGGCGGCGGCTTTGGTACATCTAATAATGTTAAACACCCCAGGGAGACGGAAATACTGCGTTTTTCTTGGCCAGACAACGACCGATTGACCATTCCAGAGTCACAACGAGTAACAGACGGTCCGTCGTGGGCCCGGCTTTTGTTGCTGCTTCGATGAGGTGCTGGGCTGCAGCGCCCTCGGGAAAGTCCTGCCTAGTCTGTGGAGCGAGAACCATTGAGGACAACAAAAAGATTGTGTAATAAAGGGGTGATGGCTGCTGATACACGAGTCACTTGTGACACATGGACTCAAGCTCTCCTCCTCCACCACATCTACATGATGCCAGTGTAAAGAGATTTAATCGAATCCCCGCGTGTCGGAATCTCGAGTTGTCGGCTCATTGCTGTATACGCACCCTGCTTGCCATTGATGCCATGCATATCGGCCTATGCTACATAAAGTTGTGTTGGCATAGGTGGAGGAGAAGAGGGATGGAGGTTTCACCTTCATCCCTGATTCGGGGGAGCATCCAAAGTGCAATTTCAAAGCATCGAAGGACTGGGAAGATATTTCTGACAACCATAGAGTTTTTGAATAAAATGTATGGGTCTAGAACAAAAGAAGCAAGCATTATTCATTAATTCTAGTGATCTCAAAGCAGGAATCAGTCGCGTCAACGACAAAGACAGAGAGCACCTCAGACAGCTGAAAAGAGAACGCCCCAACTCCAACACTTTCCTACACAGCCTGGCGCTTTGCTAGCTGCCTGCGTGCCTTATCTCCAATCTGGCTGCCCTGATGTACCAGCTCTCCATCTCTTCTGCGGATCTCAAAGTTTTCCGATGTAGTCCACTCATTGTCGGAGGTCTTTTGGCGAATAATGTTGCGTCCAATCTCGTTTTGAATATCGCGGCGACCATTCAGGAGATCATTAGAGAGCTTTGCCTAGGGGAATAAATGTTAGTTTGGGGGCAACTGCATCCAGATGATGTGCTAGACATACTCCACGTTCTTTCGCAGGCGCGCTTGCGAACTTGTTGAACCAGTCTGCGCGAAGGAGCGAGTGGACGAGAATTTTGCAGTCCTAGAAAGGGGCTGATTAGTCAAGATTCAAACATTGATCTGCTTCTCACTTACAAGCAATTCTCTGCACATGGCAGACCATCTGTCGCTAAAGGTCTCATAATGGTCCCATGTTGACACTGTGCGGTGGCCAGACCAGAGCGGTTTCATAGTGAATCCTCGCTGGGCATCTTCTGCTGCGAGCTTGGAGAGAATTCAGTTAACCAGGAATTCATGAACAAACAAAGGGGAATGTGACAAACCAATAGCCTCCAGCAAAGAATCTCAAGCTCAATGCTTGAGATCTTGTGGTGAATCACGGCATTCAACCGGTGTACTGGTTGCACCTCATGAAGCAAGTCCCAATCAGACTTGCTCATGCCCTTGGGCCGCTCATCAGATCCCTTGGCAGCATTGCCCGTTTTTATGCGCTTCCTTGATCCATTGTCCTCAACATCTCTGTCGTCGCTGTTGTCGGAATCGCGGCTTGCCTGTGCGTCAGTGTTCCCAACCTTGGCTCTGACCTTAGCCAGGCGTTCCTTCGCCTTGCGGAGTTCAAAGAAGTCGTCTGTTTGAGTAATCGCGTTATACATGTCTCGAACATATGCGCTGCGCTTCTCAAGGGTCTGGGGCCACGAAGCATCTTCCTCAGGGCTGGTACCAGCCGGCCGCTTGACGTGGCGCGCGTACGCCTCATCGACCCCTTTGAAGTGATCCAAGTCACGGATAATTCCTTCGTAGGTAACCGAAGCGGGCTTTTGCAGCTCCTCTACCAAAAACGCGTCACCAGAGCCTTCGATGGTGGCGGTTTGGGCCCGGATCTTCTGCTTTGGGGGCTCCTGCGGGGTGGCTGGATAGCTCATCTCGGCAGTGGTTCGTGGAGGAGAGGGGTATTCGGGAACGATCGCGTCGATAGACTGTGCCAGGTCGAGGGAGAGTTCGATGTCAACGCTGGTCTTGATCTGACTCATTTCTTCAAGGGCTGCATTTGCCATCTGAGAATTCGAGATCGCTAGATCGTAAATCCATTCATGGAAGCGAGTGACGAACGCCCAGATCTCCATGAAGTCCGCGCGGTTATTCAAGAGCGTTCCGTAGAAGCTCAGCTCAGGGAACAAGCGAGGCTCTTGATGGTACCTATAAGGCACGATCTGGTCTGCGTTCATTAGTGCTGTTCACGAGTGACGGGGCTGGGGATCTTTCGTACCAAAGATGATGTCCAGCATCCATCTTTTTTGTGCGGCCGGAACCAGCGGGTCATGCAAGATGTTGAGGTCGACCTGAAAGGTGCTGTCAATCTCCATCGTGTCGCGATTACTGAAGAATCTGGAGGAGGCAAGAAGAGTATTGACGAAGGAGGATTGGGGAAAGGGTATAAGGCGACGGATCGTAGAAGAGATACGGTGGAGGATCCTAGAAGAAGAAGGTTGAGGAGATGGGGGAGTGATGGAGAAGGTCGATCTGGAGAAGGATCGTGGGGAGATTTGGGCTGGGTTTGCGACCTTGTTTGTGGGAGGAAGGTGGGAGATTTATGCTAAAGAGAAAGTTCCCAGGTGAGCCTGAGGTCGCCGCAGTGATTGCAGTCAAGGTGAGCTGAGTGAATCCCCAGCCGCCATCGCCAACCTCAGACGACTTCCCAAAAGGGGAATAGGCGAGCTCGACGCGTCGAAAAACTTTCAGACGCGTCTACAAGACCTCCGAAAGGTGAGAATTAACAGCTGCCCATGCCGTCCACGTCCTTCATCTGATAGAAAAGGGGCATCACGGGGTCGGAGGTGAGAAGCCTGTCAGTAAGTAGCATACTGGAGGTGAAGCCAGACGCCCTCCAAGCAAATTCTGCAGACCACAAGGTATGCCATGACTCAGAAATGATGTTGATTATACGTGCATGCGATACTATCCGATGAGATCTGCCGGTGCAAGTAATCTTCTCTCCATTTGATTCGGCGAAGCTCGCCTTCGATTGAGCCACTCGTTGTTGAGCTCCAACCGTGAATCTCGCGACGAAGAGGTAGATATAAACGGCAGGATTACTTCCAGAGATGAGTTGGATACATTCGATACGCGCCTTGGGTACCCCGACGAGATCCTTACGTCGCTCCTTGCGTAGTCGGCTCTCGCTGCCAACCCCAGGAATACGTTCCGTATCCATGTACAAATATGCCTATTTGTTCACATTGCCGTGATCTTTCTGTGCTGGGAAGCATGATGGAATGATTCAAGGGCCGCTGCTCCCAAGGGATGTCCCAAGGGCAAGAAATTGGAATGAACCCTGCCGCTGCGAAGTATCGCGTACCGTTTCTCCCTGCACGTAGATCCTACGGGCTCCAACGAAATCTGACCATAGGGAGCAGTTTTTGATCGTAAATAATTCAGCGGCAAGAAGGCGCCATGAATCAGAACATCTGAATCTTCATCGTCGGGTAAACGTGCGATGGCCCAAGTAAAAACGAACGAATTGCCCCAGAATCAACCATTACCAAACTTAATTGGCGCAGAGCCACCGGCTCTGGTATTATGTCCCGGAACACCCTGTCTGCCTCCCACTCTGTGTCCGATCTGAGTTCTTTTGACGATGACTCGGCTCTTTGTTGTACAAATCTCCAAGCCATCCGTGCTGTGTCCCAAGACATTCAACGTTCTGGAGATCTTGCAAGTGAAATTAGAACATTTACCCAACCGTGGGCGTGTGATATGGTTGCAAATCGACCATCTTTTTCAAGATTCGCGTTCATGGCCACAGGTAATTACAGGAAGAGCTGCGTGTATTGGGACTTTATAAACAGCATCGCCAGAGGCTTTGCGAGCGACGTTGTCGGCCCAGCTAAGGTGCTTGTAGATTTCAAGGATTTGCTTCCGCTTCGAAGTCGCATTTCGTAAGTGTTCAATGACTGCCGCTTGGATTGTCGTCGCGCTGACTGCGAGGGCCGCCGCTCGGACAATATCCCTTGTTAATTATAGGGAATGGTATTTGTACGAAATGACATCGAAGTTGGTTGGCTTTGATTGACGATGAATGAGAATAAGGCTGTTTAAAAAAGTTTCATTGAGAGAGAAACGGAAATAGTTCGGGTATGAATGTGATGTCGTACATGGCTTTGATCGTTGCCGCTCGCGCGCTGGTCGATTAAGGGCCCCTGGGACCTCTCACAGTACTTTCCGCGTACTTTGGACCATCACAGTTACCAAGCGCTCAATATTGTCGTGGATAGAGTCTCTCAGTCGCCAAGAGAAAGTATCTGAGACGCGTCAGAAGTCGCGTGGTATTGGTAGCAGAAGAATAGGAAGTGAACAAGTGGTCTCCAAGATAAAGGCAGCATTGAAAACGCCTTTTTGGCGACATTCTCGCCGATGTCTTGGGCGGCAACGACAGCCCTAGAAACCCAGTTCAATGCCTTCGTAAGATCATCTGAACGAACACATCGGTGTTGCTACTTTCCACGACTGGGCCACGCCTCTAAAGTAGAGGCCTCGAAGAGTACCACGTCGTCGACCGGCCGGAATGTGCATGATCCGGAGAACCTCGTTCTGAACCTCCGGTATGCCCATGTTAATGAAGTAGGCGTATGGCATTACTTCCTCGGGATAAATGGTAATGGATGTGACGTTTGGGATAATCTGGTTGTCCCGGGTAAGACCAACCATTGGTCAGTCTACCATGGGGCTAGAGGTAGCCGAGGACAATCGGGATACTGTCCCGGCTAGAGACTCACCGGTGTCATCACGTCCACGTTGTCACGTCCGCGACGCAGGTAATCGATCCGAACTAACCAAATGAAATCATTGTACTACATTTAACTATGGTCAGAGAAAGCTGAGTTCAGCGTAGCAGTGATATCTTACCATCGTTCTGAATAGATCACTTCCTGAAGCAAGCAATACATAACACAATCAGTGTCGATATTGTATTAGATGTCCCGGATACATTTGCCTCGACACCAGATATGCAATCGGGAGCGAACTTTCAGATGACCGGTTGCTTGAGTGTCAATTTGGTGATTCTTGAATGTCCTGTCGCATTTTCCAATGGTGAAGTGGTAGGCGTCCGGGTTATCCTCACCCCGCAATTCACGTGCTGTTCCATCACGCAGCAGGTAACTCACCGTGAATCGAGCCTCCGATACTTGTTTCTTACCCCAATGTCTGAGGATCGCGAAAAGGACGTCTGGAGAGTCTATTGCCGAGATGTTGGCTGCCGTGGTGTCCACATACATCGGACGGCGCGAAGTGGCATGGCAAGCTTGACTTATATCCCGCATCAAGGTGTTGTTTGGTATCCTCTGCAGTCGACGGGCCCAGCTGTACATGTATATGTAGACAGATGTGCGAAATACCGTGGTATCGTGCAAATAGAAAAGACAGTCGCCCGATAAGCCACCAGGTAAGCTTCAAAGGTATTCGTACGTCGGACTGTCATCATCAGGTCCGAGAACAGCGAGATGGTTTCCTGTTGTGAGGATGCCATCATTTATTTTCATCGTCGACGTTATCGCGGAATGGCTAGGTTATTTCGGGTCCATTGCGTTTGTGGCTATCGTCTTTGGTACAGCTAGAGGAGAGGTGCATGAATAGGAGGTTAATGACCGCCAGCAAAACCGTTCATGGTTATGAGCTGGAGACTGTCTTCGGGAAGCTTATCGTGCTGTTGGTAATTTGTGGACTGATACTTTCCCGCTGTTCCAGCAGGGCGCGAAGAGACCGAACATCACCAGGTAAACCATAGTCACTGGAGGGGGCCTTGATGAGATAACCTCTGGATCCAGCGGCTGGCTTACCCGCCTTGCGCCTGAGCTTCGATATTCGTCTCATTTCGGACAGAAAAAAATGATCCCGCTCTGAGGTATCTCTCTATTATCCACGGCGTGGTTAACGGTGCCAAGCTCCCGAAGTATTCGCAGCATTGCGAAATATTCGCATATTCGGTACTCTGTACCGCGTGCTAGGCGTGCCATATCAAACTTGAACTGTGGCTCTTCTTTTCAGCCTTCGTAGCTCGAGCCGGCGGTGCTTGAGCTCCAGTCTAAGTATTCAATCTCAAAGACGATAGCCCCTGAGGAAAATGCAACGTAGATGTGCAAAGTGCAGTAAAACTCTGTGGCACGACCATTGCTTCGTGCCTTCCTTCGCTGCTTCCTTCGCTGCGTTCATCTCCTTGCCTTGGTTTAGTTTCGCATACGTATGAACCCGGCTTAAATCGATGGCCGGCTGCCCAGCACGACACTTCTTTTCGCACTCGAGCGCGAGATGAATACAGGGAGGAACCTGTCCAGTTACTCCAAGCTGCCGCCGTCAAAATAGGCGAGGGCCCCGGGCTCGGCGCAATGGGACGAACTCATGAAAATACTTCGGAAGTAGGTACATATGAGGGCTTGGTGATTGTTATGTGGTAAAAGAAACTCGTGCCAAACAAAACAACAGGGTGTTTACAATCACGATAAACCCAGGTTCAGTTTGCTCCAAAGGACGACATCCCCAATGCCGAGGAGACTTTCTGTTAGGGCGAGGCCAGCATCTTTTATCTTCCGTCGATCGTGGAAGTTATAATGCAGACTTTGTGGCCTTGGTCTGACGCCTACACCTTGTATGCTGGAATGCATGAGTATCGCTAGCTATGCCACATGTAGAAATTGAGTTGTTGTTCTTTGCGTTGTTGAAGGAAGTGTTGATCGAGTGGCCCGACCAAGAAACTTGGCGGTGCCTGTGTAAGGTACCGTGCCTTCGATTGAATCCCAAAACAGCGACAAAAGCCGTGTCAGAACATATGAATTATATTTATCTTAAGCTTTTTCCGCACGGTGGACATGAAAGCAGGAGAAGTCGACGAGGACGGTGTAACTTTCGCCCCGAGGATGATGAACGTTTCAACTTCTCAGGAGTGAAGGTGTTGTGTCGTTTGTATTCTAAAAGGAGTACAACTTATCGTTTCATATTTGTACCCCTCATTAGTCGAGTCGCACTAGGAAGACGGGCAATAGCGAGCTCGACGTCGTATCTCAAAGACAATGTCCCGTGTTCCAGCCTTTCGAGTGGCCCCGTCCGTCGTTTTGTTGTCCTTGTGCAGCTTTGCTAAAAGGATTTTAGTCGATGATCAGCGTAAATAGGCCCTCTAAGACATTTGGTCCATTGTTATTAGTGAAAGGCCTCTGAGGATGGTGCAGAAGACGTTCGGAACGGACAATGTAGAGCAACATATGACTCAGGCGGACACAACGCCATTATTTCTAGGCTTCGAGGCGCTTCGTGTCTTTCGGTCTGGACCAAACTTCTTCCATCAACTGCCTTGGTCCCCTCCCGTGGGTGATGA